TATGGCAGTTTGCATGTAATTGTTAAGAAGTCAACAACAGAATGTATTTAAAGGGATAGTTCACCCAAAAATGTAAATTCTGTCATTAATTACTCACCCTCATGTCGTTCCAAACCCTTAAGACCTTTGTTCATCTTCGGAACACAAATTAAGATATTTTTGATGAAATCCGAGAGCTTTCTAACCCTCCATAGACGGTAATGCAACTACAACGTCCAAGGCCCAGAAAGGTAACATTGTAAAATTAGTCCATGTGACAGCTGTTGTAAACCATAATTTTATGATGCTAAGAGAATACTTTTTGTGTGCATGAAGAAAACAAAAATAATGACTTTATTCAACAATTCTTCTCTTCTGTGTCAGTCTCCGCTGTGTGTGCAGGAGCCGGCATTCTGACGTAGAACCCAGACGCGCTGCGGCTGGTTTGCACAGAGAGAAATGCACATACATGCATCGTAGTACTGTCGTGAACGCATCAAATTTATTAATTTTGAATAAAGTCATTATTTTTGTTTCCTTTGCGCTCAAAAAGTATTCTCATAGCTTGAACCACTGATGTCACTTGGACTATTAACGATGTCCTTATTACCTTTCTGGGCCTTGAACATGTCAGTTGCGTTGGTGTCTATGCAGGGTCAGAAAGCTCTTGTCATTAATTACTCACCCTCATGTCGTTCCAAACCCTTAAGACCTTTGTTCATCTTCGGAACACAAATTAAGATATTTTTGATGAAATCCGAGAGCTTTCTAACCCTCCATAGACGGTAATGCAACTACAACGTCCAAGGCCCAGAAAGGTAACATTGTAAAATTAGTCCATGTGACAGCTGTTGTAAACCATAATTTTATGATGCTAAGAGAATACTTTTTGTGTGCATGAAGAAAACAAAAATAATGACTTTATTCAACAATTCTTCTCTTCTGTGTCAGTCTCAGTAATTAAAGTCAGTAATAATCTTGATAATATTCTCGGAAACACTAGTGGGCATCTCACTAAGGTAAGGTCACTGATATACTCTACCTAGTTGCATTTCCCACTTTGACCACCAGTTTTGTAACTTTGCAGATCTTTTTTATGCTCAAACAGCAACATTACAGACTAACTAAAGTTGAAAAAGTGAAAAAGTATAATAGGACTCCTTTAAGAAAATTAACCATGGTTTTACAAATGAAACCATGGTAAACACAAATTAGCCATGGTATTTGTAGTACAACTGTGGTTATACAAATGGAAATGGTAATCAATCCCCCAAAAAACCATGGTTACTATAATAAAACACAGCGCCACCTGGTGGACTGCAGCACAAAAACCGTATAAACAGAGTACTGTATATAATCTGGACATTGTGAGTACTGCCATTATCTACCAAGCAGCGATACACCCTCTCCACACAACTGCTAATGTAAGTTGTTTTATAGCAACTTTTTACCTCTATCTCATCTGAACAGGCTCTTCATGGACAGGGATCGATCCCTAGAGTTGAGCCTAAACCAGCTGCATTTTTCACTGTCATTAATGGACAGTCTGAAAGGGCAGATCAAGACTGTAGCAGATTCCAGGCCTGCACATGCTGCCTACGGTAGATATCACCTATAGATGTGTCTCTGAGGGCCCACTGCCAAGAGCTACAGTAAGTGCTGCATACTGACGCTGCTGAATACACAAGCTGACTGCAGTGTGCCATTGCAGCTAGGAATTTGGGTAAGAAAACAAGAGTAACTCTCATGCCTTGACATGAGCACCAAACAATGGGCGGAACAAAAGAATTGTGGCAAATCTGTCTCCGCTATTTTATTTCATCATCCAGCTCTGCCAAGCGAAGTGATTGAGCTTGTGATGAATATACGTTGTTTACAAGGACAAATTCTAGAAATAAACAGATAATAATAATAATAATAATAATAAAACTCTTGCTCATTCTTAGACTAGTTGAAAATTAAAGATATGTGCAAAACTATGCTAAGATAGCTCTTGCTAAGAGAGGTGAATCATTGCTGCCAGATCTCGCAACCTTGTCTGAAATAAACAGGGTTGCTTAATAAGATAAGCCTGTTTTAGGAAAGTTGCTTAAAAATAATATTTTTATGGTCTCCAGGGTTTTCTAGCTGTACACATTTTCCAGTGTCTTTCCTGTATAGCGTGTGGGAATTCACTGTAAAACTGCAATGCTCACAGTTCAGTAACAGCCAAGAGGCAGAATGATGTACCTGATAGATAACCATCAAGAACTTTCTCTTTCATAATTTAGTGACGTGACGTGACATGTGGCCAAGTATGGTGACCCATACTCGGAATTTGTGCTCTGCATTTATCCCATCCAAAGTGCACACACACACAGTAGTGAACACACACCCGGAGCAGTGGGCAGCCATTTATGCTGCGGCGCCTGGGGAGCAGGTGGGGGTTCAGTGCCTTTCTCAAGGGCACCTCAGTCGTGGTATTGAAGGTGGAGGAGAGCGCTGTACATTCACTCCCCCCCCCTACAATCCCTGCCGGTACGAGACTCGAACCCGCAACCTTTGGATTACGAGTCCGACTCTCTAACCATTAGGCCACGACTTCCCCAAAAAACCCTGGTGTTAAATCTTTTTGTTTGCAGAGTTGGCTTGAACAGGTGGGCATATTTGACAACTGTTAGAAGTCGGTCATACTTTATTGTGCTAAAGCACTGACAAGCCAGATTGCGTAACTGTATAATGGAAATGAGTTCAAAAAAGCTGCAATTCATTACTTCTTGAAAAAAACAACAACAAGGCCAGAGTTACTTACTGTATAATAAGTGGACATGGCAACACAGCACTGAATGCAGCTTTGAGTTAAGCTGATGTGTTGAGTGTTCAAGAAACATGTGAATATCTCATGCCCCACTGACCAGGATTCTTCAGACTCTCTCTTATATGGAAACTCTTTCTTCACTATTTCTTCTTTCTTATTTCGTGACAGCCTTTGAACTATAGCAGAGATATTGCAAAAGACAAACCGGTCTGCTGATTCAGGTATAAATGGAAGGTATGTTATACTGAAGAAGCACCTCTGGGGCAACAGTTGTGCAACAAATACTTGCTAAACATGTAACAAACATACTTCCTGCATGAATTTCACACAGTATGGAATATTGTAGGGTTTGTGCTTCCTTCAGATGCAAATTCAGATTACTGTTTTAGGTGGGACACATTTCCCAGGAAATCCCTTTTCATGACTCCATTGTTTAATTAACAAGGCAAATAGAGTGTAATGTCTTTTTATTTTGCCTACAGCAAGTAATCACCAGGGGGCGACGGCCCAGGTCATCAACCCCAATTGCTCTCAGTGGCTGTTTGCCCCATGCAGGTGGAACTATACCTATTGAATTTTGTTGTAGTATTCCATTTTGTGAGTCACCTTGGATTAAAGCATCTGCAAATCTCAATCCTGGTGCACTGAATTCGGCCTGTTTCTCTGTAAACTGGAGGCATCAAAAAGAGATAAATATGCAAAAACGGGTACTCAAATAAATATAAATGATTCGAAGAATCATATCTGTTTGGAAACAGATTTTGGCTTCATGAAAAGCCCACTAATGAGCTACTTGCATCAAAACAGTGAGGCAAGCTCATCTGGCTTGCACTTTACTGACATTTTAAGCAAACTGTGATCTTTAACCTTAAAACACTCACTTGAAGAGACTTGCATGCAAAGTAACAAAGTTACACTTGTGTCCAGTAGTTGCCGAGCAGCTGTTTTGAATAGGCAATAATAAAAGGAATCCATGGAATTTTAATAAAGACTTATTAGAGAAACTCTGGTCAGGTTCTGGATCTTTGTTCAAATAATAGTGTCTGTGGAGCTGTGTATTTGATGTGATCTTCTCAAGTAATACAATTTACATTAGGGATGTTGTTTAATCACTAATAGACAATGACAACAAAGTTAACAACTGCTAATGATGTGAGAAAATAGGTTCCTTTTAACAATTTATCAGTGGTGTTTAGCAATATCTCTTAAAGCCAACATGCGGTAGCAGCAAGTCTAAACAATTTTGTCTTTAACATTTAAGAAATATGTTTTGACAGATGATTTATATGAGTAATAGACCCTCTCCTCTAATGTCAGCCAGGAATGAACATGACTTGTCTCTTGATTGGTGTGTTACCCTGCAACAAAACAGGAAAGCAGAACATGTAAGGAACATGAAAGGAGTTCCTAAGAAGTGGATTAAACAATTATATAGGTCAAGTTTCCAAGCAGAAATGTTCAGCTGAATTACAGGGTGGCTGTGACAGACTGCAGTGGTTTGGATGAAAATGAGAATAATGGGATGAGCTTATAATGTATTCCTTTAAATAGAAACAACAACAGATTAAAATGAGGGAAATCCACCTGTATTTTGAACGTAATGATATCATATTTCTTGTTGACCCCAATTTTTTATTTTTATTGAAAATTAAAAGAATGAATAGAATTGGTTTATTGTTACATTTCTAAAACATCAGAAAACAACTAAATCTGTTTTACATTTCATATGCTGCATGGAAAACATGGAGTTGCACAGTTCTTGGGAAACTCAAACGCAGAGGTGATTTCTTTTGGATGTTATCATCGCTGTTAAGACTGCTGATTATATCTCATTCATTCATTCCTTATTTATACGGCACGGAAACGTGGTAAACAAGGTGTACCTGAAGGAATGTCAGTTAGATTTGGTCCTCAGCAGATCTGTCAGGTAAACATGCTTAAAAATCCCTTCAAGAGTTCCTAAGAACCACTTAAGATAACTGCCTACAAAAGGGCAGCATAACACAGAATAATGAGATATGATACTAGTGTATTCCTTTAAACTATAAAAACTTAACATAAAGTTAAGTATGAGGAAAGGCTCGGGACAATAGAAATGAATTGCAAAGGAAAGATTGCATGTTTCTTGTAACAGTGAACAGTGGAAGCAAACAAATGGGCGGTACTAGTGACGCCGGCTCCGCCCCGTCTTTTAGCCACTCCCACACATCTGATTGATGCTACTCTCAAGACGAGCGGCATTGAGATTTCGGCGACAGTGTTAGAGACCAAAAGATGTGTAGCTCCTGCTGAAAAACATGCTGTCCTCAGACCACACGATGTTTCTGTTTGCTGGGATCAAATCCAAGTGAGGTCTAGCAAAAGCATCGTTGGAATCCAGAGTTAAAAGACGGATTGTACTATAAGCACGAGCGATCAGCGAGACGAGATTTGAACGCGCTGCCGTAGGAGATCAGCCGACGGCTGCCTGAGATATATTCAACAACATTTCTTTGTTTCTCTGTGTAATTCCGGTTTTCTTTCGTCTTTAATATGGCGAGCGATTCTCCGGCTCGGAGTCTGGATGAAATAGACCTCTCCGCCTTAAGGGTAAGTTATGTGTCCTTTATTGGAGATGCTCATTGATGTCTTTTGGCGTTGCGGTTGCACCGTAATGGCAGGTGCAACAATCACTACAATAGTAGAAATGGAGTCAAATGTAAAATAACGGCTGAACGAACAGCGACAAGACGTTTTGTTTCTGAAAGAACCGTTTAGGCTACCTTTATTGTTCAGTCGATAAGAAGCTGTGGAGGGTTACATTTATCAGATCAAATAGCTGCTTTTTGAAACTTAATACAAATTATTGCAGAAAATGTCAATGAACTGATCCGGTTAATAAAATAACACCAATTATCCTGATATCGTCAGTCTTTTTTACTGGGTAATGTGTGTGTATTGTAGCTACATGTTGTACTAGTCTATTCTATTAAAGCAGCCCTACACGCTGACTGCTTCTCTTATAACCATTTGTTTTATCAGGACTTTTATGAATCAGTGACTAGGAAAAGGAGTAATCTTTACTAGAATTCTAGTTTTAAACGCCAAGTTCTTTAATGTAATGTTTGTGGTAATGCTGATTTGTTGCATTTTTGAAAAACGTCGGCAAAAATTGATCGTAATGATCAAGAAAAAGTGCTATAATATTTTATATGCCCAATAAATACATGCAGTGTCAACACACACACACACAGAATCATCTATCATTATTTTCCAAAAAGTTTTGAAACATTTTTCAGTAATGTTGTTGTTGTCGTACATTTTGTCATTCATATCATACTTTCAGTAAAATAATGCCATGAAGCCATGGCGAGGTTTTGTAGATTTTGTTTTTGATCTGAGTAAAACATGCCTTTTCATATAAAGGGCGAAATATTTTTGTCACATGGCCACAAAATGGCTTCCTGCATGTTGATTATGGCACACTTATTTTGAAGTTTTATTTTTTTATTTTTCTAGTTTAAATACTATTTTTAAACAACAATTACTTCACTGCTTATTTTTGGGGGCATTAACAACTTTAAATTAGATTTTCTTTTCTTTTATGAGTAACCTGTTTAAATATTTACTACATCTAGAACATTTTGACCAAATTATTTTATTTTTTCACCAAAAATATCACATTTATTTTTGATTCAGAAATTGAAAACGCATTCATCACAGCAGAGGAATTGCATGTTTGATTTGCGTTTTATTGTATTCATAAAAGAAGTAATAGATCTGGACCCACAAGAAAAAAAAAACAGCACATCATTTACCCAAATCAGTTCTTTTATTCCACTGTTCGTTCAATAGAAACAAATTTGATCTTGCTGTGTGCTGCTGCAGGATCTATCCGTGTCCAACCGGGAAACAGTGTGCCATATGCATGGCTTGATAAATGCTTAAATCTTTCTAATGCCACCAAATTACGCACAGCATGTTTTCCAGCGACTTCTGAGTGGATAAACTGGGTTACTTCCTAACAAGTCTCCGTTTTTATGTGTCGCTCCTCAGATTATAAAAACTGTGTCAGTATGTCTAATTAGTGTGAGCGCGTATGTGCGTTGTCCTGTAGCTCAACTGGTAGCGCATGCAGCTGGCATGGCCTATAGGTCATGGGTTTGGTTCCTAGGGAACATAAATTGGGCAAATGCATCTGCTAAATGCATACATGTAAGTGTGAAAATATCTATACGTCTCATGATGAATGTGTTTGATAAGTAAATTAGGCACAATATAACTGGATGGGCAGTTTAAGGATGCCCATATGGCGAGGCACAGTTTCACAGCAGCCGTAAACCAATTACCCTGTGTGCTGTAGGATCTAATGGGCTAAAGGGATGCACGTGAAGTGCTCTTCTTTCTCTGCTCGCGAGGCTAAGTAGCGCGTGGGATGGAAAGATTGCTGCAGATAGCCCTTTGAGTGCTTTTGATTTGGCCATCTATTGTGTCTGGTGCATTAGCTTCACCTTCCCTGCCTCCTCACACATGGATCTGTTTGCACGTACATGCTTCAACACTACAGAGCACATGGCGCTCCAGATGTCGCTCATATTTTGAATGGGATTAGGTTAAGTGTTAATCTCCGTTTCATACAAGCCATGCTCTCTGCCCTTCACCGAAGCAGGGTGATATGGAACAAGTGAGTTTTACAGGCCGCTCGCGTCACTTCCTGACTGTCGCTTTCAGTCGTTGGGGAAAATGCAGATTGTATTAAAAAAAAAACAAGGTTTATGATTTGTCTGAATAAGCACGTCGGTTTGTACTTGAGACAAAACAGACATTTAGGTGCTGACATGACCTTATTTTTGCTGTCTGTCCAGAACCCTCACTAAATGTTTGTTTATAAAATGTAATATGTGGACCTGGGAATGAATCCTTTGCTTTTATCTTACCGTTCATTTAAATGTAGTCCGTTGAGTGTGCTTTCTCGCGCATGTTGTGTTTGAGCGAGAACGGAAATAGGTCACCCAGAAGCAGAGCACTGACATGTGCAGTAGTGGGGAAAAATTTCAGTGCAGCACATGCTCAGATGGGCCATTCATAAACTCTCTCTCTGGCACAGAAGCGGAGGTCTGTGTCCCACATACATGGGAGCCATGTTTGCCATTTCATAATTACGAAAAAATGCAGCATTTTAAAGAATGAAAAGAACATTTGTCTTTTTTTTTTCATTTTTAGAAATTTTTTTAACCTGCTTATTAATATAAGGAAAATGCTTTCAAATATTCAAAAATTTTGTGGTGAGATAAAACACACACACACACACACACACACATAAAACAGGAAATTATATTATAGGGAAGAAACCTGCAGAGCCTCATGATTGTTACCTTGAAATACTGCTTTTCAAACGTTTGGGTTTAGTATGTTTTTTATTATAATTTAAAGTAATAGATTTATTCAGCAAGGGTGTACCACTGTTTTCAAAATTGATAATAATAAGAAATGTTTGTTGCGCACCAAATCAGCATATTAGAATGATTTCGGAAGAATCATGTGACACTGAAGACTGGAGTAATGATGCTGAAAATTCAGCTTTGCTTCACAGGGTTTAAATTGCATTTAAAAATATATCCTATTCCTAGTAGAACATGTTGACATTTACAATATAGCTGTTTTTACTCATTTTTTGACCAAATAAATTAGCTGACTTTCAAAAATATATAATTTTTTTTACCATCTCCAAACTTTTGAGTAGTCATGATCTAGATGTTGTATGGTGCAAATATGTTTACCTTTTACTTATTACACCACAACACATTTTTAAAATAATTACATTGAAATTCAAAACCATATTAAACCAACATGAGCTGCTTTGTGTACAGCCGTTACCGGGGAAACCACTATTTCAGCGCTCCTAAAGCGCCACCTCGTGGCAGAGAATGAATTTGCATTTCCAATAAGCCTTTCTTGCTGTTTATGGTCAGATCAATGCAAATATCAACTCATGTTTTTACGCAGCAAACACAGAGTTGTAAATGGGAAAGAAGTTAATGTGCCTTCTAAAAATCTAAACAATTAAGACAGTAATATTTATACGTTTAAATTGACATAATTTATGTTTGATTTATCCCTTTTCATAAAAATGGTCTAAAGGCTGAAATGCTGTTGTATAAGATTTTTGTTTTTATGAAAACCTGTATCTGAACTGTAAATCATGTCATTTTATGGTCCAAGCCCACTCATACTGTTTTCATTTTACTTGTGCAGCTCGTAGAATGAGTCATAAATTGCCTTAAATTTATTTTTAAAAATTCTGCAGATACCCTGTAAATAGTGAAATAAAATTCCTTCCTTCATATTTGTTGATATTTGTGTATTGAAAATATTCTTTATATTTATACTAACTCCTATCTGATTTTCTATATATTAAAAAAAAAAAGGTATTTTTTTTTATTTGGGCTAGTTAAATTAATTTTCGGGCTACCAAAATCTGAAGAGTACCTGCCCGAAGGGCTACCAGGGATGTTGAGGTCTGGTGTCCTCCCTGGGTGTGCATGTGTGCTGTTTTGTGTGCCTCTTGTTTTGTGGGGGGAATTATGTATGTGTTAGTCACTTGCTGTCACACCCTGGCACTCCAGCTGCATTCCATTCAATGCCATTCTGCCCGAGGATGTCTTGTAACTTTATTTTTATATGCACGCCGCACCAAGAAAAGAAAATGCGTAGTTGCTGATAATGGGCTGAACTGCCAGTTCTAGCAAAGCCACATAGAGATGCTCAAACTGAGGGGCTCAGAGAGCCGTCTCACCTCATGCCTAGCCTAGTGCTGGTGCGGTTAAAAGTACTTGGGGGTTTTTGTGTTTTATGTTTGCAGTTAGCCCGTGCCCTGCAGCGTTAACTGTCCTGAATCTCCCCTCCCATCCTCTGCCCTCCAGCAGACGTCCGCTGACCCATTTCATGTCTTCATGCTGAAGCGCAAATGTTGACTTATGTAGTTTCATTTAGCTAGATGTAAATCTTTTTTAAAAAGTGTTTAATAAACTGCCACATGTATTTAAAACGGCCTGTTTACATCTGGAATTAAGTTCTCTCGGATGACCCGTTTGCAAGAGACTGTTTTGTCACTCACTACTTAATTATGTATTTGAATTCTAATTTAAGCACATGTGACATTTTGGTGTGAAATTATTTAACTCATTTTAGTCTAGCTCCTGTATTTGATATGCTTTAATAGAAATATTGAAGAAGTCCACTTCGCTAGTTGACTGTTAAGTGGTCTTTATCTGTCATTACACACTTCCTTACATGGTTTAATATTTTAAGTAAATGCTAGCTGAGACACTGTCACTGGAAAGAGTAAGCTCTTACGAGTCCATTTTGAAAGAGAGTGTGACTGTCCCGTGAATGGATTAATGTCCTGACCTGTAATTAGCAAATTATCAAATGTTTGTAGATTAGTAACATACACCAATAATTAATGAGTTTCTACAAGTGTTTTAGTAATCTGAATTCAAACTGATGAAAATCACGACAAATTTGTGTTATGTACAGTCACAGTGTAAAAACGAATTATTTTTGTAAAATTAAAACAGCTTTTTTTAATTTTCAAATTTTTAATTTTC